GGTCCAAACTCAAATAGCTCATGTAAACTGTAAACTCACGTCGGTAGAAAAAAAATTCGTCATGTACACTTATTGTAAACTATATATATGTTCGGTAATAATATATAGTTTACCGAATATATATAAAAATGTCATTTGTATAATTTACATTGTATGACATGATTACGACGAGCTAATATAGAAAGCATACTGACTATTTTTGAGCAAGTGTAAGTCGTAAATGTAATCGTCGTTAGTTTTTTTTTTTTTTCAACGCTTGTGATTTTATTAGATAACCAAACAACCATATATACTAACCATGTTTAAGACCTCACCAGGCACCGTTCAAAACAATAAAACACAGAACCTCTCCATTAATGAGAATGGAGGAGGCTCAACAAAGCCGAGAACCCACGACGATGGAATCATCAAGAGGGAGAGGCTTTATCCTTATATATATGCCGCTTCTTAAGTGATAATGTGGGCAAGCCAGCGCGGACCATCGCGAGATACGTAGGACTCGTCGTTAGTCTTTTAAGTAAATGGATACTACACCATTATCTCCTATTAGAATAATATTGAAAGCATAACAACTATCTTTGAGTCTATAATAATATTATATCCAATTATGAACCGATTTTAGTGGATGCTACACTAGTTAGTCTTTTAAGTAAATGGGAATCAACGCATCTCACAAAGGGATGCGGCAGACCCAACAAAAGAATGGCATTGGCAGGCGGGCAATGAATCTTTGTCACACTTGTTGACAATGGTATCTTTGCTACATTATGGTTTCATAGTTTATAGAGTAAAAATAAAGAAAAGGGAATATTTAGTCTTATTTTAAATTAAACTTCTGACCATTCATATATTCTGTGTCATTTCTTTACCATATCTTTGTCCAAACATTTTACAGAATCAATATATTCTCCAACTTTTTTTGTAAATGGGGGTTCTTAATTATATTCTCCAACTTTACAAAAAAATTAATTTTACCAATTGAATTAACAATGTGATGTTTTTGCTGCATTTCAAACGAATAAAAAAATAGATGTAATGTACTAATCTACTAAGTGCTAATGGAGTTCAAATTCGTTGAGACTTGTTTATGTGCCGAAAAAAAATTGTAACTACATAACAATGAACGAAGTCTTTTTGTTGGCCATGGTTTCTATTGAACACTCAACGACGATTACGACCTACAATATCTCCCAAATCTAGACGGAAATATAGAAATAGCATATTTTGTGGTTGTGAATTATAGGATTGGTCGAAGAAGAAACCAAAACAAGCTCCGACAAGAAATCTATCTAAGCATTTACGTCATCGAAGGGTTGTAGAAGAAACTGATCGGACGTAATAATT